AGAAAATTACTATGAAACGATCAAACATTCAATTCAGACAGTGAGATTGACTATGTTAGTTCAGTTGGCTATCAGTCGAAATCGGTCAAACCAATCACAGTAAGACAAAAATTTAAACGAGCAAATTACACGATAGCAAGTGGACTTCCTTATAGGTCCGGCCACCCCGCTTATCGGTCGAGATTATTCCAGATCGTCCACTTATCTGGCCATTGACCAATGAAATAAGCGTTTTTGGCGTTCATAGACTCCTTTATCAGTCGAACCAGTCAAGCCACCACGCTTATCAGTCGGTTATTCCAGGTCAGTTAAAATTCAACTGATCTGGTTACCAACGATATATTTATTGTAGTAGTCATTAGTTTTCAATAATAAATAAAGCTGGAGTAGTATAGTACATGGGGGTTCGAGAGCACAAAAAGTGCTCTCTATCCCCCCATGTACTATACTACTTTTAACCTTGGGTAAAAACTATCTTTATAACAGCGTAAAATAAGACCATGGTTCAAAAGGTGTCCCTCAGCAAAAGGTCATGTAAAGAAAGCTGCGTAAAAAAATCATTGTTTTCAAAGGGGGGTAAAAATCTCGAGGTTACAATCTGTCGTTTAAAAATATGGAATCTATACGTTTTAAAAACTATCTTTAGAAATAAATGTTAAGAAAGCATCGGTTCGGAGGGGGCTTGGCAGCGCAGAGCACGAAGTGCTCGAGCAGGGGGATGGAGCCCCCGAGAATTCATGCGAGCTCGGTGGGTAAAAAATTCTAGCTTTACCTAGAATTTTCGGCTCGCCCCCGTGGTGTCCGAAGGACGACAGAGGATTAATATATGCTCTTTAAAAAACCGTCTTTAAGAATTAATTGTTAAGAAAGCATCGGTTTTGAGGGGGCTCGGCAGCGCAGATCACGAAGTGATCGAGCAGGGGATGGAGCCCCGAAAATTCTAAGCGACGATGGGAAAATTTTTCACGAAGTGAAAAATTGGGATCGCCCCCCGTGGATTCGAAGAATATTCGAAGAATATTCGAGAATAACAGAGGATTTATATATGCTCTTTAAAAAACCGTCTTTAAGAATGAATTTTTAAGAAAGCATCGGTTTTGAGGGGGCTCGGCAGGCAGATCACGAAGTGGTCGAGCAGGGGATGGAGCCCCCGAAAATTCTAGGCGACGATGGGAAAATTTTTCACGAAGTGAAAAATTGGGGTCGCCCCCCGTGGATTCGAAGAATATTCGAAGAATATTCGAGAATAACAGAGGATTAATATATGCTCTTTAAAAAACCGTCTTTAAGAATTAATTGTTAAGAAAGCATCGGTTTTGAGGGGGCTCGGCAGCGCAGATCACGAAGTGATCGAGCAGGGGATGGAGCCCCCGAAAATTCTAGGCGACAATGGGAAAATTTTTCACGAAGTGAAAAATTGGGGTCGCCCCCATTAGATTCGATGAATATTCGAAGAATATTCATCGAATAACAGAGGATTAATATATGCTCTTTTACAATCTATCGTTTAAAAATATGGAATCTATATGTTTTTTTAATTTGTCTGTCAAGCGTGTGTCACATGTACATGTTTAACAATTTTTATATAATTTTTGTTAAAAGTGTTTTTACTAATTGTTTCAGGATTTTGACTCTTTTTGTATATCGCTTTTGTATTAATTACTTATTACAAACAGTTATGTGATATGTAGTCAAACATGAGGATTATTCTTCATCTTAAGTTTTAGCTTGATAGTTATTTTTAATAAATTTTTTTAATTTTTCGATTTCATCATTTACAAATTTTTTAGTTGATAGAATATTATCTTCTATAGTAGCCGCAAAATTTTGTGAAAAACCATTATATGTCATAGATAATATAGATTGATGTTGTGAATAAACTTGTATTTTGGTTAATCCATTAAATGCTTTAAGCCATTTTCTTTTCCATTCGTCATAATCAATTGAAGCTGTAGATTTTTTTGGTTCAAAAATAATATAAATATAGTTTAAATCATCATCAACACAGTATACGTGATATAAATCTAGTAATGCATTAACTATCTTTTTTTCATTATCATTTGTTATTTTGATAATAATTTTTTTTTTAATCTTATCTGCCATCATATCTAATTCAATTGTTTTAGAGTTATCACACGGATTTATTTATAAAAGTGTATATTCAATAAATTTAACATTATTAAAATAAATTCTGATAGTATCTTCTCGGGTATTAAAATTTATATAATTTAATTGATTGCTACGGTGTACTACTTTACCATTTACTCTGCTATCAATCTCATTCTTTGTATAATAGTTATTTAAGTTAGAAGTCAAAGCATACTTACCATCAGCTTGTGTTTTAGTATAATAGTTATTTAAATTAGAAGTCAAAGCATACTTACCATCAGCTTGTGTTTTAGTATAATAGTTATTTAAACTAGAAGTCAAAGCATACTTACCATCAGCTTGTGTTTTATTATAATAGTTATTTAAATTAGAAGTCAAAGCATACTTACCATCAGCTTGTGTTTTAGTATAATAGTTATTTAAACTAGAAGTCAAAGCATACTTACCATCAGCTTGTGTTTTATTATAATAGTTATTTAAATTAGAAGTCAAAGCATACTTACCATCTGTTTCAGTCTTTGTGTAATATTTATGTAAATTAGAACTTAAAGCATACTTACCATTTGTTTCATTCTTTGTATAATAGTTGGCTAATCTTGAAACAAAAACATATTTATTATCAGCTTGTGTTTTAGTATAATATTTTAGTAAATTAGAAGTCAAAGCATACTTACCATCAGCTTGTGTTTTAGTATAGTAGTCATTAAATTTATTATTAACTTGAGTTTTAGTGTAGTGGTTATCTGATAGATGTGTTTTATCTACAGGTCCTTGTATATTTACATTAATATCTGTTTTATCATACCCATAAAATAAGCTCATTTATATTATTCCTCAGATTTTATATTCGGTTTATTATTTTTATGTTTGTAAACATGTTTAACGGTTGTTATACTGCCTGATAAAAACCCTAAAAATGGTAATAATGGTGATACTTTTTCTACTAAACTGTACACATCTCGTTTTAAAAGGTCGTCTGATTTAAGCTGTTTTGTTAATTCTTTGGGATCTTCAATAGCATCAAACCCTTTTAATATATCTGAAAATTTTGATATAACTAAATCAGTTAAAAACTCATTAGCTTTTTGTAATCGTTTTTTCTCGTATTCAATGTATAATTTATCAATAATTTTTTGACTAGCTTTTTTAATGTAAGCAACTGACTTGTCTAAATCACCATCTTCAGCTAGTTTAAGTACTTGATTTTTTTTAGTAAAACCCTCTTGCGGTTTATCTTGTATATTTTCATCACATACCGCGTCTTTGATAACATCATTTGTGGAATCAATCTCATTAATTATATCATTAATTGTTTCAGGCTCTTTACGCTTTGGCATATATATATAACACATGTTTTATTGCGGAATAACAATTTTCCATTTGTATGGAAATACAAGTTGGATTTCTAAATGTGCATACTTATTATTTTTCAATTTTTTGGTTATTTCTTCTATATCATCTTTTTCAACACCATAAAGATAATCATCAAATATGGTTTTCATATCATTGCGGTTTGTATTATAAAATGTAACTAAATAACTTATATTTTCGCGATAAGGTTTAGAAATACTAGTCAATTGCTGTGTAACTACAATAGTAGAAAGCCCATAATGACGAGCACTAAAACCTAATTTTACTAATTGTGATGTCCTATTTTTAACATCTAAGCAACTCGCACAGTCATCAAGAACAATAAGACTATTGGTCCCTTTATATACATTACTAACATATTTTAAAACAATATCTACCTGATCTTGATCACATTCTACTTTAATTAAATCAGAATCATTTATATATTTCCATTCTTGATAGGTTTTATTATATGATAACGTGGGACATAATAAAACAATATAATCAAAGTACCTATTAAATTTTTCTTCTAACATTCTTAAAAGAAAGAAGGTTTTGCCGCAAGCAGTCATACCTAGGATAATCATATTAAAGGGTGTGTTCATTTATATATTACTGGTTATTCTAGTATTGAATACTTTGTAAATCATTATTAACAAATTGAACAAGAGCATCACTAACAACATAGATGTAACAGTTTAAATCTTTTGTATATGCTCTCTTTTTAATTTCGAGCAGAATGCCGTTTTGAGTATTAACGATTTTTTTTCCGTTACCAGCAATATTTTTTTCTTGAAAGGTGCGTAAATCGATAACTAATGAATGTTTATCCTTATAAAATTTTTCAATTGTCATGAAGCAATCTATCGGAATAGTTCTATCAAAAAATTTTCTTGCTTCTTCATAAAATACTTTTTTATTCATGCCTTGAATACCATTTGGGGTACCTTCAATTGTAATTTTAACTTCATCAATTTCAGGATATATGAATTTTTCGCTATCATTAACTGCATTTTCTTTGAATAGAAGTACAATACCTTTCATTGATTTGCGGGGGACTTTTACATTTATATTCTGTAATGTACTTGACTTATCCCATTTTTCTTTTTTTAGTAGGGTTATATGTTCATAAAATAGGCTTCTTCCTATAGAATATAAATTTGTCACCTCATCTGCAATTTCTTGATTTTCAATAGTTTCATATTCCAGCTGAATATTTTCTAATTCATAATCACCGATAGTTTGGCCACTTCGAGGGATAAGGACTTGATCACTCGGTGGTAATGTTATTATGTATTGAAAGTTATTATTCATATTGAAAGGGCAATACAAACCGTGGTCTTTAATAATATTATCAATATTAATTTTTTGCCTTGTACCATAAATATCATACATTAATTTGTCTGCTACTTTTTCTAAATCTCCACTTGTTGCAGCACTATCATCCTTAGAAATAAGTTTTCTTAGATTTTGACTACATATGCCATATTCAATAAGACTTTGTCTATCACTTTTAGGCAACCACAAGTCTTTATATACACTTATAACATTATGTTTACTACAATCGTAAAGGGTTTCCCCAGCCACTTTAATTTGTAGTCTATGTTGTAAAATCTGACTGAGATTATTTATAAAGTGACTTTTTGTATTACTGATTTTAAGATCAAACGATAGATTAAGTGAACCAGGCACTAAGCAACTATTTGCTTTCAATTTCGGAATATTAATATAAACTTGTTCATTCGGTTTAAGACTATTAGGGTTAAAGGTTATACTATAAAAAGTACGGTTACCTTTAATTTTTGTCATAGCAGTCTTTTTATAACCAGGTAAAAGCTCTTCTTGTAATAATCTATTCATATATATTAAAACATATTTTATTTTCTTCTTTGTTTATACTGGTCATATATTAACAAAGCAGCAGCAATAGCTAAAACCCATAGATTAGAAGCTAACCATGCTAGACCTTTTGCTTCCCCAGATATAACCTGAGCGATAATATTCAATAATGTTCCTAATATTGGCCATAATTTTTTACCTAGATTTGCTAAAGCCTTAGAAAATTTACTAGTAGCTTGAGCACCTTGTAGGATTGCTTTTCTTGCACCAATGATAATGGCTGTAATTATCGAACCTATAGATATAGCTAAAGCTGATATTTCTGGGATATTTTTTTTTACCCATTCTTTAAACCGCTGTAATCTAGTAATGTCTTCTTCTTGTTTATCTCGTACATCCTCTTTCTCTAATTGATCTTTTTCTTCTTTAATTATAATCTCTAATTCCTCGGCTCTTTCATGCAAATTAGTTAATTCATCAATATTGTCAATACTATTTTCATTTTCTATTTCATCTATTCTAGCTATAGTTTTGTTTAGCTCTTCAGAAAAGTGATTTATTTGTGCTTCTATAAATTGCGGTCTTGTTCTTTTATCAATAGTTCCAGAAGGAGCCATCACACCTATATGTTCTCTAAGTTCTTCATTAGTTATTTGATTGAAATTTTCTGTATATTGATTATTTAAATCAAGCATAGGCATACTCTCTTCAGTTTTTATATATTCATTTTTCAAATTAATAATTCTTTTAATTTCGTTTTTAAATTGTTTAACAGCTTCTTTGATTTTTTGTTTTATTGTATTGTAGTACCATTACTATTACGTGTTAAAACAATTATTTCAACACCTCGCTTATTTTTGTATTTAATGGTTTGTAAGTAATATTATTTATATCAGTTTTACCTAAATTTAATCTAAAATTTATACCTTCATAATTTGCCATACCTTTTAGTTGATTAAATCTAAACTCTTTTTTATAATTATTTGTAATAAACTTTTCAACAGCAAAAGAAACTTCATTTTCAGGTCTATTAATATTTGTATAAACAGGAGTGGAAGTAGGAACATCAGGAAGATTATTAGTTTTATTTGTCTTTTTTCTTATTGTTACACCAAAATTATCATCAGTAAATGATGTTTCATAATATTCATTATAATCGTTATCATCTTCATTATTATTGTTATCATCTTCATTATTATTGTTATTATCTTCTTGCTTATTATCTTCTAATTCAATATAATCAAAACCTCCTTCTGCCATTATATAGATTACTCTATATTTTGTATTTCACTTTCAGGAATCCAACTGTTATGTTTATTATCATAACCTAACCATTTAACTAAAACCATCTTTTACCTTTAACCTTCTTACGTTTTAATATCTTTTCAACTCTATAAACATCATCTTTCTTATTCACAACTGATAGTTCCTCTTCATAAAATTTACCAATTATAGGCTCTCCTTCTAAATCTTCTATCTCATATAAATTCGGATCTCCTCTAATAACTTTAGTCACTTTAAACAACTCTTCTGTAAAATTTGCTTCATAACCTTTCGTAAATATAGATTTATACTTTGATATTCTAACCATATCACCAATTTTAATCTTAGGTAATGGTAAATAAGCAACTTCATGACCGTATAATGTATTCCATACTTCATCTTCATTATTTTTATTAACATCTTTAGGCTTCATCAAGATTGTACTGTGTTTTGTATTGTTATAATTATATACTAAATCATCCAATATATCAATCCATTTATATGTTCCTTTACTGTAAAAATATTTCCACATAGATGTTTTAAGCGTTCTGTTGAATCGTTCGACAATCGCCTTTTATCATTTTAGTAGAGAAGTACTTAATTCCATGTTTTCTAATAATGATTTACACCTACATTATAAAATTCTTTACCATCATCAAATTGAGCTAGTTTCGGTAATCATTAAATCTATCTTTAAATTGACTTAATAGTTTTGCAACAGCTTTTGTCATATTATTTGTGTCTTTCCTATAAACAGGGATAGTAAATGCATATCTACTTAATATTTCAATAGCTGTTAATATCCAATAATAACCATTGTTTTTATACTTATAAGAACCCATATCAACTAAATCCATTTGTATTTGTTCACCAAGATAGTTTACCCTTGTTTGTCTGAATTTATGTCTCCTAATAATAGGTTTATATCTAGTATATGTATCTTGAGATATTAACCATTCTTTAACTTGTTTTCTACTAACATCTATACCTTCTTCTAATGCTTTCTGATAAAGACGTTCTGCTGATTGATACCCTGTTTGTGGATCATAATAAATATCTCTTAAACTTTGCTCAATTTTAATGTCTTCATCCATTTAAATTAACTTACTCAAGATAACATTCAAGTAGAATACTACCTACATTCACAGGGCCCATCTTGATCTAATATATTAAATATTAGCTCGTTAAAGGCTCCTTTTATAATTGTAACTTTAGATTCAATATCATTGTATTCGTATACAGTACCAAATAACGACTGAATTGTTATTACTGGTAAAGTTAAAGCTATATTACTTTTTTCCTTCAGGGTTATAATTATAACTTGAATTTACAATATTAGAAGAAATTTGAATATAGTTTAATCCTCTGTTTATATCCACTTTAGAAACACCATTTTGTACGATACCTTTTTAATAGTTTTATGGTATCATTAAAACCTAACATTTTAATAAGAGTATCAGATAATACTAATACTTCATTATTATTATTAGTTATTTTACAAGTTCCATTGTTTTCTACCATCTCAAGCTTTACATTAACAGACTCAAAAAACGTTTTAAGCATTTTAAAAGTCCAGTAACCAGCATCTATATTATATTTTGTTGTGGCTATTGTAAAAGCTAAAGTATTATTTAATTTTATATTTTTATATTCCCAATACACATAAGCTTTTTTAATATATAAATATGAATAGTTAGTTGTTACTATACTTTCTTGTAAGTCAATTTTTTTACTATCTCCGTTTATAAAAACAGTGAACTTTTTCATATATAAAATAGCTTATATTATATGTTAGACAAGCAAATAGAAGAAAATGCTATAAAATTAGGCGATGATGATTTAAAACATGTATATGATACATCATGGCCAAAAATATATTTAGAAACAACTAAAACGCCTTTGTTTTCAAATCTCATAGCAGCAATAAATGGAGATGAAGGTCATTCTGAGGATTATTTCGATCATATGTTACATAGGTGGTCCTCAAAATTTATTGTAAAACCTACATTTCAAAGGCCGGTAAATGTTGATATTTGTAACTTCAGATTGTATGTCACAGAGAATGATTATTTTATGAGTAATTTTAAACCTATAGAAGCCACGTGGACAAGTGAAATTAAAAGTAAAAAAGAACAGCCGACTGGTATAAGATACAATATTAAAAATCATTTAAATTATAAACAAGAAGCGTACTACGCTATGATTTGTGGAGCTTATGTTTCCAGTTTTTTATGTGGTATTGCGCTTAATCATTTAAATTTTGATAAAAGTAGAATTATACAAAGCCTTGTTAAATACCATTTGTATTATCAGATCAAAAAATTTATGAAGCATCCATCGTTATTAGACAAATATGACTTTACGGAATTGAAAAAGCATATACCTTATAAAGGTATTTTAAAATTTGATAAAAACAATGATGGGTATTATGTTAATTTTCAATATTCGACGACTGATTATAGGAGCTTCATTGCATATCATTCTGAAGGTATTACAAAAATCGGAAAAGTTCTTTTGCAAGAGAGCATTGAAAGTTTTGTTTATACAATTCTTGGTTCTCAAGCTGATACAAGATGGTCAATAGTTAATCATGGATCTAAGAGCATGCAAACTCAAAACGTTTTTAGGAAATTACTAAATGATACTATAGTACAGAATGATACGACTGTATTGATATCTAACATGAGAAAAGTATAAAAGACACGAATGTTATTTTAAATATGGCAATCAGCCCTGGTATGATTTTAATACCCAGCCGTATGATCATATTGAATAAAAAGATTGATGGGTATAATAATATTTTAACATTAGCTAATAAAACTATGAAATTCGGTATTAATTCTAAAATAAATTTTTATGGAGTTAAAAAGGAAGAACCTAAAAAGTACATCAAGATAATGCACCATCACAACACCTAGATACTCTAGATGAAGTTCATAAAAAACCATTAGTACATAAACATACAAAATGATAGTAAATAATCCCCATCAAACAGATATGATTGCTTTACTCAGTATATCAACGCTATCATCATTCATATTAGTTAAATATGTTTTATAATATAATATGAAAAAGTTCTAGATTTTAATCATATTTCGAGTGAGTTGAGTCAAGATGAATTTGAAAAGCTGAAAAGTTGTATTTGTACTATCACAAAATTTATACCTGTTATAAATGGAAGTATAATAAATTAAAGAAAATTAGACTATCACTAAACATAGGAAGTATTTTTTTAGTCTCGACTGGTGGTATTGTAGGTAGTATAACTGTAAATCCGGTAGTTATAGCCACCCTGAGTGGTTTAGGTGCTTTAATTCAAGGTTATATGGTTAAGAGTAAGATTAATAATAACTTAGAAATGTGTAAATTTGCATATACATCATATGAAAAATACTTATGGATATAAGATCTTATTTAAGAGGATTACCTTATGATGAAGTGATATTTCTA